TCCCTTTCCCACCCCCAACAGTATTACACAACTGTCAGACAACAGGACTGTGCATAGTCTCAGAAACAGTGTTCTTAACTACTTTACACATGATGATCTGCAAAAGTTCCTTGTATAGCTTCAAAACACTGAGATTTATTTTTACTGATGGCCACCAAAAGATAAAAAAGAAAAAAAAAAAATCAGGTAAAGTGATGACTACATTGATTTAAAATGGTGGTAGAGTGTTTAAGATCATTTTCCCTATGGCTTAATAAAAATCTGTTTGGAAAATGCTGTTTACATCAGCTAGAATGCATTAACTTGGTCGTCCTACCCAGGTCATTCACTCCAACTGGTAGCTTGACATAAAATTAGTCCTAAGAGTGAAGGGATAGTTGTTTTTTTGAGGTTTGTTTTGTTTTAAACCTCAGCCTTTAAATACAAGAAAGCACTAGGTCAAGACAAACTTTGATGTTATGTCCTGTAACAACCAAATCATTTAGATGAATCCTCCACTGGCTATCCGTTCTTTTTCACCTTACAGTACCATTAACTTTTTTCAGGAAATCACAAGACTGATATCAAAGATGGTCTTCAAGTATAAGTACTGACTCACAAATTCATAAAAATGATAGTACCCAAAAACTCAAATACAGCATTTTTGTAGCTACTGGTTGACTTCCCATGACGATCCTGTCTTTTTTTTCAACCACAGTAATTCAAAACCTTCGCCTTTCTCTTTTTTTACTGTTAATTAAAACCTTTGTACACCCTACATACTCTTTTGATTTTAATCACCTCAATACACCTAATATTCCCACCCCATTAATCAGAAATGGAATAAGATTTTCCTCAACAGCTGAGCCAAAAATATTATCCTCCTACTTGAACTACTTCGTGAATCTTTTCCTCACAATATAAAAATTAGCCTTCTAATTCTCATTTTCAATTTCCGACAAAGAACTTCTTACAATCTCAAATATCTGGCCACGTATACGTTCTCCCACCTCACTGCCTCCATTAAACAAATGAGACCTGCCTCAGTATGCTTTTCTACCTGTGTACTTATATATCCCTTGTGTTATCTCTTTCTTCTGGACTGCCTTCTTACCCCAGCCACAGACTGAACACCTTGGGCTGAGAGCTCTGAATGGAGATGATGGACAGGAGCTCTATTCCTCAGTCTTTCAGTCACATGAACTATGGCTTCATGTAAACGTTTTCTCCTGTTTGTACCTTTCTTTCCTCTTCCATATCTTTAATAATATCCTCAGAGCATGGTCAATATTTTAATTTATTTATCCTGCCTGAGGACAATGATACATTCCTTTCAAAGCAGTTTTCAAATCTCAGCTGTAAAGTGCTATGTCAACTTTAAGTCCCCTACTGTGAAAAACATCCAATATTAATGCCATGTAGAGTCACAGAATCATAGAATCATTAAAGTTGGAAAAGACCTCTAACATCATCGAGTCCAACCGTCAACCCAACACCACCATGCCCACTAAACCATGGCCCTAAGCGCCTCATCTACATGTCTTTTAAATACTTCCAGGGATGGTGACTCAACCACTTCCCTGGGCAGCCTGTTCCAATGTTTAACCACTCTTTCAGTAAAGACATTTTTCCTCACGTCCAATCTAAACCTCCCCTGGCGCAACTTGAGGCCATTTCCTCTCGTCCTATCCCTAGTTACTTGGGAGGAGAGACCAACACCCACCTCGCTACAGCCTCCTTTCAGGTAGTTGTAGAGAACGATGAGGTCTCCCCTCAGCCTCCTTTTCTCCAGGCTAAACAACCCCAGCTCCCTCAGCCGCTCCTCATAAGACTTGTTCTCCAGACCCCTCACCAGCCTCGTTGCCCTTCTCTGGACACGCTCCAGCACCTCAACGTCCTTCTTGTAGTGAGGGGCCCAAAACTGAACACAGTATTCGAGGTGCGGCCTCGAACTTTCTATTCTAAGAAGATTGAAATTATAGTCTTGGCATCAGAGTGGAAAAGACTGAACACAAATTCTAACATTGTCCTTTGTTGGCTAATTCACCAAACTTCATTTAGACCAGGAGAAAATTTATTTAGCTAGTGCATAACATTTGTTAAGAATAGGAAGAAAATTAAATAAATGATGAACAACATTTTGCAAAGGGATAGGATATGACGCTGAACTTGGACCCATATTACCAAAAAAATCTTGGTAACATATGGATTAAAACAATTACTGAATCGGTTTCAAGTAATGCTCTAAGTACAGCATGTACTCCAAATACTGCTGTCTATATAGAGGGTCAAAACCAAATCATTATTTATAAAGCTGGTGGTTTCTGATTTTAATGAGAAAGGGATTTGGTGTGAGTAGGTGAAAAAAATACTATTTTTATGACCATATAAGTTTTTTTACTATTATTGCTTATCTTCAGTTCTGTGTCCATAGCAAAATTTTTCACAATTGAGATCACACACACGGAAATACACCAAAACCAAGACTATTCAAATAATCTAGAAACATTTTAGTGAAACAACTTAAGAACTGAAACTCTAGCTCAAACACCTTTTAATGATGGTTAACCTCTGTGTGTGTGTGTGTGTGTGTGTGTGTGAGATGCATATAAAAAGTAAGCACTAGCAATCACCATTTCATTTTCTCCCAACCTGGGAATTAATATAAACCATACATAGGGTTAAAGCAATCCTGGCCAAATGTTGTTGAATATGTAATTACACTCAGCATTCAATCTGCTGTGTGTATTTGCCTGTGTTCCAGAACTGTTCTATGAGGTGCCCCCAAAATTGCAGTGTTTATCCTGAGAATGAAACCCAGTCTCTCAGAACAGTCTCCCTGCATTCTAATATAGCTTTGTGTTAAGAATGAAGCATTGCATACATATGATATAGCATTGGTATACCTTCAACTCATCTTACGCATTTTTGGCGCTCTCCTGGAGCACAAACAAGGATAACTCATTATTCTAACCAGTAAGCCTGACTGGGGCACTAAGAAAATCACAAATACTAGGCCTATTCAGTCGCACAGCTTCCTATAACCACCCATTCTACTGTATCAGCTACCTGGTGACTCACAGCTAATGATACTCATGGATGAAGTTTAACACTGTATTCATGCTGATAAAAGAATTAGCCTTCTTTCCTCAGTATGGCAGAGAAGCAGAACTCCTTCCCATGCCTCAGAATAATATTTTACAGTCTTAGGCACACAGAGATTAAGATCAGGTACCAGATTGCTCCAGGCAGTTACGCAGTGCTGTAAATTAAGGAAGCAGAAATACATAAAACCAAGTGTCCAGTCTTTCTTATATTTGAAGCTGCATACCCAAATCCTCATGTGACTGAATTACAAAAGCACTCCTGAGACGTGGGATAGCTGGGAGAGGGGAAGGAACTGAGCTCCAGAAGTAGTTCATAGATGGAGGGTAACAATGGCTGGATGGACCTGGGGTGAGCATACAGCTGGGCGACCTGCAATGCCAGCCTTGGAAGCCTTCACTGCCCCTGTACTTCTCCTGGTTGCCAATACAGTCTACACACAGCAGCTCTCCACTGACTCAGGCATGGTAGTGACTGGCTTCAACATGACAGGCTGACTGCTGAAGCTACTTGGAATGACTCACAAGCAGCACAGGTATCACAAGTACTTTCAAAACACCAGTTACTATTCTGATAATTCTGGACTTGAAAAATGCCTTATGCTTCTTGACCTAAAACACTAACCATAATTCTCTGACAAGATTTAATATTCATTCACTTCAAAGAGAAACAATCCAGACAAATAATAAACATAGGAGCAACACAGGAATTCCCCTCCCTCTCCCCCCCACTTGTTCCACCAAACTGAGTAATGAAGTATTTTTCATTAGTTTATCGGGGCAAAGCTACTTTCCATAGGGACACTACTGCTCTTTCTGATCCTTCTGATCCTTACTTGACTGCGCACCACACCTTGTAAGTCAGAACTCACATGACATGTTTTTTTTAAGAAAGCCTACCTCTGTAGTGGTTCCAATGTCAGCAGATGGGCTGTATGTGCTGGTATCTGGTGGAGCGGTACCAACACTACTTTTAACTGGAGAGCTAGGAGGAGCAGGTCCTGTCATGGTTTCAGTATAGACAGAAGACTGATATAGAATTCCTTTTCTCTGAATTTTATTCCAAACTTTACTTGTGATCTCAGCCAGTTCATACAGAAGCTGAACCTAAAAGAAAAAAAAACCAAAATCTTTTTTAAGATGAAGCTTTCCTTAATGAGGCGAAGGAAAATCATCAAAGTCCTCCACTGAGACTTAGAATGTAGTAGAACTGAACTTCTCACCATTTATGATGTTCTGATAAACAACTACATTGAAATTAAAATAATTAACATCAGTTACAATATAGTGATCTTGATAAAAAAAATGTGTGCTTTGTCTAAGCATATGGTACATTGCTCAAAAACATAACCAATAACATGGTCTTGTGAAACTTTTACTAATATCAGTTTTAACAATTAAACAAAGGTGACTTATGGTATATTTCATATGTATAGATACTACCTCTAGAAAAAGGCAAACATATAAACTTTATGAAATATTAAAAATGAAAAATTATTCATTTAAATGGTATTAAAATAATGATCCCACACAGCATATGAAGCTGTTCTATGTTTTAGGAAGAATATCCACTATCAAACTCAATAGTCTCCTGGCATATGTCATTCCAATATTCAGAAACACGCTGTTTAACTTCCACATTGTTTGACTCAGTTCTAAGATATTTACACAAGTTTTTGTAAATAAGCATTAATCACGGAATTTGTATGACAACATACTGCAATATACTGTATAAAACAAGCTCAGAGAAAACTGCAAACAATATATAAGCAGATCCACAGCTGGATACCATACCCAACTTGCCATTATAAAAAATGGAAATTCTCATATTTATAAGAACTTTAAGCCTCAGGACACATCTACTCTAGGAAGCTGGCTTCTTATGTGGGCAGAACAGATGCAGAAAAACACTGTTGTCAATCTACATTTGATATAAAACAGTACTTGATTTTGTGCGTGAGAGTGTGTGATGAAGTTTCAAAGTACATGCTACAGTCCTTTCTTAAGAGGTGAAGTGCTGGAATTTTATAAAAACCTTCTTAATTCATCTTGGATTTTCTTTTGAAGTTTCAAGGCTTACACTGAGCAGGTCATATACTCTTTTGACAGAATTTTTCCTTAAAGGAGATAAAGTTCTCAGTACTTTTTTTGTCTTTATATACAGAGCAATCTACAAACAAACAATAACTCTGGCTGTGGCAAAAAGTTCTTTTAGTTATGCTTTAAAATATTTTGTGTCTGTATCACTCTGATATGCACTGGTAGCCTTCAAATTACTAATTACAAATTTCTAAGTTTTCCTGAGCCTTTTCCATGTAACGCAGGAAGATCAACTAGTAATGTCCATCTGATTGATTGAGTAACAGAACATTAATTGGTGTTGACACTTTGCTGGCAAAAGAGTCTCTAGAAAATTAATAGGATACAGACACATATCCAAATCATACATGCTTGCAACCTGCCCTCCCTCAAAATATTTTTTGGTCAAGAAACCAAAGGATAATTTAAGCTATACTTCTCTTAATGCAGCAGGGCTTCCAGAAATTTAATTATGCTACTGCTCATAAAGGCACACAATAACACAAAAGAAGGAATGATGCAACTTCTATGTTTACATACACAAGGTAAAAAGGTTTTTCATCAGCTAATCCAACACTGAAGAGTTTAAATCTTATTGGGGTTGCAACAGTCATAATCATTAAAGCTAGTAATTACTTATGTTATCAGGGGGATTTTTTAAAGTTGCTCAGGCTAGAATCTTTGCAGCCACTCTGAAACAGTGGCTATCTCAGACAGCAGTAGCCATCTCTCTGAACATCACCAGCAACCAGACAGCCAAGTAGTATGACCCTAATACTCTACCCTGCTCTGAAACCAGGGAAAAAACAAGTTCACCAAGAAAAAAGGCACACTTTGATTAGAGGGAGACGATTTTCATGGAGGTATGTTAAAAATACCAAAAAGCCTTAACAAAACCTCATTAAAACAAAAAAGAGGGCATGTGTCTATATGCAAATAAAATTTTAAAACTTCAGACAAAGAGCTGAAGTTTATCTTTGATTATTTTTAATACACTTAATTTTATTCCATTGGTTGTTACTCGTTAAAATGGAAGGATTTCTACTTCTTTTGTTGGTTCCACTTTTTCAAGTGAGTAGTCTTAGTATTTTGAAAATCCAATTCTGATTATATTAGAAGAGCTAATGTAAGTGTAAGGCCTCTCTCCTTTATAAGTATTTTTGAGCATAACAGTTAATGGATAATAATTATTTTTACTACACTGTATTGAAGAGAAGAAAAATGGTATGACAAAAATAGGAATAACTCTGCCAGCGTTTGTTAAGAAAAGTTTCCCTCTCTCACTGCTTCCACTCCCTCCCCAGCAAAACCACACATAATTCAGTAAGACCCCACTGACTACTTGGCAAAATCTGTAAAGTTCATTACGTTACAGCATTTTATACTTAAAAAATAACACATTACTACAAAATTGAAAATTACAACAAAAGGCAATATCCTGGCAATTTTGCACATTGGAAGTAACTATTGACTTTAAAGGGATACAACCATCAGAACATGGTTTCATATTAAATCATAATAGTCATATAGTAAAATACTTCACCTTTGCTACCATTTAACAAATTCACTAAGTATCACCTAATTTAAGGCTGTCATCTATAGACAAAATACAGCCTGTCATTCTAAAGAATCAAATTTCCTAGTTACTCTACTGTGAATTTATAACTATCAAATGCTGTTTATGTAATTGTATTTTCCATCTTCTGTCCTTGAACATCTGGTTAAAGACAACTGATAGGTTGGGTTTTTTTCCCTTTTGCATAAGTAAAGCAAAAAGGACAAGTAAGGCAGATGTAAGGGAGAAAGTACAGCTCAAGAACCTTTACTAAAATCGAATAATTTGTCCACATCCTTTTGGTCATTATAATACTTCAGTAAATGAGTAACATCACAGTGTACAAGGTCATCCTTTAAGGCAACAATATTTGGTCTGACATTCCACTGTACAACTTCATTTTAACATTGCGCTATACTCGTATCATGATCTACATGGAGCTTACAATTTAAATTTTTTAGTGCAAATATTTTCTTACAGTTTGCAAAACAAATTATTTGGTCACACTTTGGTAGGAAAGCTTGAAAATGTGTTTTACTTACTCCATTTTTCTTTTTAATATGCAACTCAAATTTAGATAAGGCTTCCACCTAAAACAATGCTATTCCGCTTATAAATTAATACTATTAATGTATTACATGTATTAACCATGAGTAATACATTCAGAGATTTAAAAAAAAAAAAAAAAATCAGAGTTGATCAGACAATTTGCTGGAATTTCACTGACAGTGTACCGATCAAATGTAGCAAACTATTTTGGTACAGCAACATCTCAAAATATTTACCAATTCTCTGACTAGCTGTGATATCAAGATGAATTTTGTAGAGTTCTACGAAAATTAATACAGAATAAGGCAGGTTTCCATAGGCTGTGAAATTATCACATATGAATTCATTAAAAGTTATGGAAAAACCACAAAGTTGCAAAGTAAAGCTTTCAGAAGTCTTTAAATATAAAATGTGATATTGTCAGCAAAATCATAATTTTGTCCTTTGCTAATTATACATTTATAACAGTGACAACCCTTTATATGTGCAAACACACCTTTCATACAGCTTTACAAATCTGAGTAGACCTTGTTGAGGCTGCTCAATTTTAAATGTTAATTTGCCACGTCCAGTGCGCAATCTCACTCTATCAACCCTCTTCCTAGTGAGTGTGAGCCCATCCAGTACCGAAGACAACGGCATAGAGCAAATGAGTCAGAAATAACTTGGATGGAAGGCAGTGAATGGGGCAGGAGACCACACATTGAGGATAAAATAAATACGTAGTTTAAAACACTTGTTTCATTCATAGAAGGTGGAATGAGGCAAGGGAAAAACTGCATACGACTGAGAAACATTGTAATGAGTACACACAAGGGATGACATTAAAATTACACCAGCCCTCTTAGCTTTAGTATTCCCAGACCTAGGCCATAGGTCCATAAATCTTTACAAATGTGATGTGCTGTCTATCAGATCAAAATTATAATACTCTGTTCTTTCCCTTTCTTTCTGTTAAATGAAGCAATAAACAGACCGTTTTGTCCATGACGTCCTTTGAAAAAATCTTACATATGGCTAAAACACTGGAGCAGACAGCATATGAATGCAGAGCCCTGCTCAGACCTCAACAGATTTGCAGTTCCCAAGAACAAGAGTGTTCTCTCCAGCACCACTGGAAATGTTGCAACTGTCAGGAAAGTGTTATTGAAGTTGCAGTAAAGATTACTCAAAATTTTGCATAAAAACCCTACTGTATTTGGAACTATAGCAAACTTGATCCAGGTCAGTAAAATACAGGGTGCACTTTCTGAAAATCTAGCAACATCTTTGCCTTTTAATAAACATAAGTGAGGTGGTAACTTTTGTTTACACACATTAATCTGTTTTTTTTCCTTTAATAAAGGATACCATTGTTTGCATAAAAAACATTTTATGGTTGAAGCAATGTTAGTTCTATGAAAATATGGTAAAAAATTCCATTAAACGATTTCAATATATGAATCCACAGTGACAGCAGAACAGCACTATAGCATTTAATAGTACATCTGCAATTCATTTCACTCCATCAGCCAAAAGATGCATTTATACTGTAGCTATTACATTTTGAGAAGAGTTTAGATTACAAAACTTAAGAGGGCTTCAAAGCAAGGCTTAATCTAAGCACCTTGATGTTGATGGCCCAGTTAAGAAAAAATTAAGGTAGAAGAGGCCCTCTTCAACAAAATGCAGAACAATTGTACTTAAATAGTTATTTTTAATTTCCTTTCACAAATCAATTAAATGTACCGACCTGGGGGTTGGAGCATTTTACTTCAAGGGACTCAAGGTCGACATGGAGGCAGACAACAAATGAGTGTCTGGATTCTGGCCCTGAAGCAAGCAGTTTCTGTGAAGTAACAGCTAAAGTAGAAGTACAGCCCATTGGTTCCACTAAATCAAGTGTCATCTGTTGTCCAAGAAGAGTATATATACTGAAATGATGAAGGCTAATAGTCCACGGAAAAGCATCACCTAATGATTAAAAAGAAGGGAAAACAGTTAAATAATTGCATAATAAAAACTAGGCTATTATTTTCTCAAAAGTCAGTAAAGGCCTTATCCTAAACCCCCTTAGAAGTCAGCAAGTGCAATCAACAACCATTAAATTGATCCCAAACTCTCACAAATATAATTCAACCATCAATTCCATTCTATACCTCAAAATCTAAACAATAGCAATAAATTCTTTACAACTCTTAAAAAAATCGAAATCCGTTGGGAATTTTAACCCCAAACTGTTAACAAACATGTACAACATAGTCTTTAAAGAACATTCTTCTTGCTTTATATGATTTTCCTCAAACTGAGGAGTATCCTGAAACCACTCCCCACTTATTTCAGCGTATGGATGGCAGAGGCAGTTCTTTACATTATATACTTATACATGTTTACAGGTTTTAATACTAAAAAGGAGAATTATCTTTCTTCCAAAAATTTACAGCTTGCATCTTAGAGTGGTGCCACAGAGTAAAGTCTATGCCAATGCACTGCTCAGGTAAGTGAGACCTTGATCACAGTGCAGCTCTTTCCACTGCCTCCACTTAACTTCCTAGGAACAGAATGGTGATGGATATTGTGAAAACAAATTACTATGGACATACACTGAGCACATCATTTCTTATATTTGGGAGGAAGCCTACCCAGAGAAGTGCCTGGCAGCCTGCCATGAATCATTATCAAGAATAATCAGTGAGGGAATTGGCAGTGTCTGGCTGAACAACAAAATGGCTGCAACTTCAGTACAATCTGTTTTCTTTAGACTGTCAATAGATGGGAAAGAAAAGGAAAAGTTTCCAAAGCAGGACCACAGAGAATTATTTGGGTAGGTCTTTAAAAGGCCAACAGGAACTCTTTTTAGTGAAAGAAAACCTTCAACAGCTCTACCAGGTGAAGTTGAAAGAAAGTGAGAACACAGACTACGGAAACGGAAACCAAATCCCTGTGGTGGGTTTGACCTTGGCTGGCCACCACGTGCCCACCAAGCCGCTCTATCATTCCCCCTCCTCAACTCGACAGGGGAGAGAAAATATGACGCAAGGCTCGTTGGTCAAGATAAGGACAGGGAGATCACTCAGCAATTACCATCAGTGCAAAACAGACTCGACTTGGGGAACTTCATTTAATTTATTGCCAATTAACACCAGAGTAAGATAATGAGAAATAAGAACAAATCTAAACCCACCTTCCCCCCACCCCTCCCTTCTTCCCGGGCTCAACTTCACTCCCAAATTCTCTACCTCCTCCCCCCTGAACAGCGCAGGGGGATGGAGAATGGGAGTTGCAGTCAGTTCATCACACGTCTCCGTTGCTTCTTCCTCCTCACACTCTTCCCCTGCTCCAGCGTGGGGTTCCACCCACAGGAGTCAGTCCTTCAAGAACTTCTCCAACATGAGCCCTCCCCATAGGCTGCAGTTCTTCACAAACTGCTCCAGTGTGGGTTCTTTCCACAGGGTGCAGTCCTTCAAGAACAGACGTGCGTCCCCTGCAGGGTCACAGGTCCTGCCAGAAAACCTCCTCCAGCCTGGACTCCTCTCCACAGGGTCACAGGTCCTGCCAGGAGCCTGCTCCAGCACGGGTTCTCCATGGGGTCACAGCCTCCTTCAGGACTCATCCACCTGGTGTGGTGGGGGCATCCATGAGCTGCAGGGTGGACATCTGCTTCACCACGGACCTCCATGGACTGCAAGGGGACAACCTGCATCACCATGGTCTTCATCACAGGTTGCAGGGGAACTTCTGCTCCGGCGCCTGGAGCACCTTCTTCTGGTCCTTCTTCACTAACCTTAGCACCTGCAGAGTTGTTTCTCTCTCATATTCTCACTCCTCTCTCTCAGCTGCTGTTACACAGCATTTTTCCCTTTCTTAAATACATTATCACAGAGGCACTACCAACACCATTGACTGGCTCAGCCTTGGCCAGCAGCGGGTCTGTCTCAGAGCCAGCTGGAACTGGCTCTGTTGGACATAGGGGAACCTTCTGGCATCTTCTCACAGAAGCCACCCCTGCAGTCCTCCCCACTACTTACCTTGCCATGTAAACCCAATGCAATCCCACATATGATAATTGGGTCCCAGAGAAAGAATTTAGGCTCTGCAAGAGACACTGAACCAAAACCCAAAGAATGCTCAACAGAAGTGAGGCAAATGAGACAATGAAAGATATGTGGGTAATTCTCATTTTACCTGAAACAGATATGTTTTTTTGCTCTTTAGAAGTACAAGAGCATAACAATTATTTCAGGGTTTGGGTTTTTTTTCCCCTCTAATGAAAGTCTTCATTATGGCCTCAAGTTGCGCCAGGGGAGGTTTAGATTGGATGTAAGGAAAAATTTCTTTACTGAAAGAGTAGTTAAACATTGGAACAGGCTGCCCAGGGAAGTGGTTGAGTCACCATCCCTGGAAGTATTTAAAAGACGGGTAGATGAGGCGCTTAGGGACATGGTTTAGTGGGCATGGTGTTGTTGGGTTGACGGTTGGACTCGATGATCTTGGAGGTCTCTTCCAACCTTAATGATTCTATGATTCTATGATTATTCCATTTATCAGATTTTCTGCTGAGGAAGTTGGGCCTTTTTGTCCCCACTTGAATGATGGAGAGTCTGCGCCCAGCATGTGAATTTTCAATCCACCAAGAGAAACTGCCTGCCCCAATTCAAAGTAACATAAAAGTGGCTGGATGCAGTCTCAGATACAAACACAGCAGGCTGGTGAGCATCCACAAACCTCAGCTTAGGCTGAAACAGTCTTCATCTTCTGCTTTGTACAGAGCATGTTCATTTGGAGGAAGAGAAGGAGAAAAGTTGTCCTTCCTATATCAAAATTCAGAAGATTATTTGGTATGAGGTTTTATTTTTCAAGATTTGGGCCTGGAGTCATGGGTAAGAAGAGTCCAAATTAATCTAATATCCCAGAAGCATGGGAGCCAGTCTTGAGAATCAGAATAGAACATGGCAGACAAATACAAACATACACTGGGATGGGCCCTTGGAGTCTCACAGGACAATGAAGAATTCAAACCAGTATATTTAAACAATATATGGAGAGTGTGTTTGCTGCCTGGTGTGGCTTACGGTCAATACTGTCCTGCTGAGATATCACATCACTAAGAAACAGCACAAATTAATTGTTAACTGTGATTCTTTAAAAGAAGCTTTAGAAAAGTTTTGAAATTAAAATAAAGCTGGATCCAAACATCTTTTTACCATATTATTTTACTAAGAGTTCTATTGTTTCTTCCACAGAAAGAAATTGCACCAGCAATAAATTTATATGGTCAGGAGTATATACCAGGAGAGTCCGTGTGTCTCACCCCAAGAAAGAACTGAAAACTTCAGTAGTTTATTTTGAAGCTATTGCATACTGAAGAATTCAGCTCAGCCAAAGTAACTTGAAAATATTTTGGAAAGGTTTCAGATTAGAAATTGAAAAGTAGTTAGCAATCTGTATTTTTTCCAAATTCAGTCAGCCAAGAAATACAAAATATTAATTGTAATAGATGGAAAAAATTCAAATGCAAAGTCAACTCTAATGATATGTTTCTAATTACTACGCATGATCTTTGTTTTTCTGTGACCACCACAGTAAATTAACATCATTTATATTTCATGGATTAGAAAGAATCTCCAGAGAAAATACTGAATGTTAACTCTACTATGCTGCACACATTGTCTACCTTAAAAGGAAAAAAACGATCAAATTTTATCAATATACAGAAACCACAGTATGCTGAACAAACACTGCAGTAAAGACATGGCAAATTTACAACTATAAAATTCCCGCTAATGTCATCAGTTACCTCTTCTTCAGCTCCATACACACTATGTGACCATTCTAACATACTGGAACTGTTCACCTGATAAATCCCTGTTTTGTTGTTGTACCTATGTTTGCTTTATTTGTTTTTAAAAAAACTTTACCTGCATTCATTTGCAGGTTGGTTTTATGAAACTAAATAATTAATTCAAGGTGTCTAAAAATCAAAAGCAACACTGTTTATAGGATTTATTTCAAAAATGATTTATTAGTAGGAAGGAAGGAATGAAAAGCCAGTGCCACACTTGGCAGATATTTTCTCTACATCTAACCTTCCCATCCATGTATACTATTGTTTTGTCACCTAATTGCCAAGATTCTTTTATGCTGAAAGATTGTAAGTAAACTTGACATGGCCTTCAGTGGAACTAGAGCTCACCCCACATCTCTTATGGGCAAGATTATAAAAGATACACATGAAAGACCCCTAGTATGACTGAAGATTCTGGTTAATTCCTGATCTACTGCTCTCATAAATCCTTATTTTTAATTTCTTCAAACATCACTGTTGATTTAAAAAGCTTGAAAATGTATTCATTAAGATATTTCAACTGCTTTGATAACATCTTAAATTTATAAATACCACTTTCAGATCTTTGGCAGTTGACTGACCCAATCACCAGACAATTTTCAAAGAATTGGCATTCATCATTTATCTGCTATTTGCAATAGTTTAGCAAGACTCCTTTCCTACAGAGTGTTTCTGAGTTAGTTTTCCAATATATATAATTACAAATTTTTGGTAGGTGCAAACACTTTCTCTAGTAGTTACTTGATGCACTTTGTTTCTTAGCTAGAGTTAATGCTCATTATAACCCTTTCCATATGCATGACATACAATATTGATAAATGTACTTAACTACTAATAATTGTTATATGTTTGCTCTCACTTTTATATGACACTTCTCTATTTTAAAAAACAGACTGCAGAAGTGGCAGTTATAGACAATGTTGTGTATACAATGTTGACAGTTGTACAAAACAGAAGTTTTGTTCGTTTAAAATTAGTAATGGTAGAAGAGAGATCATGAAAGCTTTACCATGTATATGGGTACCTGGGATCTATTCCCAGGCTTGCTAAAGGTATCCTTTGCAATCTTCAAAAAGCATCTTGACTACTCTATCTTCGTTTCCCTTTCTGTACCCACATTGCAGGGTCT